GAATGCATCACCTGAGGTCTGTGAATGCATCACCTGAGGTCAGTGAATGCATCAGTGGTTGGAGGATAAAGACTCCTTTATCTGGAAGGTCCAGTCGCTGGTGGGTCAGTACTGTTGGACAGAACTGCACCATGGAGCAGCAGTCAGGGCCCGGTGCTGCTTGTGAAGGAGAAAGCCTGGACCAGAACCTCAGTACTGACGGACCTCTGCGGCTGTGTTGGTCCCATTAAAACAGCACTGAGTGTGCCTGGTACTGCTCACCTGCTCTTTTAGACTTTTCTACACGACCTTGTTCCGCTGTGATGCACAAGAACAGAACCCAGGAGAAGCGACGAGGTTCTGATGAACTCCCCCCACAGCTGCGTTAAGCCTCTTTTATTGTGAAGGAGTCCGGAAGCGCGCGCGCGTGTGTGTGTGTGGGTGTGTTGGTGCTGACGGGCTGTGTGGCGGGGCTCGCTGTGGGTCCGTGTGGGTCCGTGTGGGGGATCTCCAGACGGACGGAGCTGCATCATGTCCACGCTGCTGCTGCTGCTGCTGCTCGGCCTGCTGCTCTGCGTCCTCCTCCGCAGAAACAGGTCAGTCCGCCCGCGGCCCGCTCCGGGGCTCCGGGGCTCCGGGGCTCGGTCCGGTTCGGAAGCTTCATGTGAGTTTCTGAGCTGATGGGAAACAGAGAGAACCGGAAAAGTTCCGCTGCAGTTGGTTTTAATTAGTGTTGTTCTTTGAAAGGTCCCGTTAGGTGAAAGCTGCTGTTCTGGTTCTGAACCTGGAGCTAAAGTTCCTCGAACCGTTGATCCATTATGTTGTAGAAGCTCCGAACCTGGTGAAGCTTCGCACCGAACCGCTGCTCAGGTTGTGAAAGAGTTCAAATAGAGACAGTTTGAGACCAAAGTCAGACTGAAGGTCTGGACATGGACTCTACAGGCTGCACACACACACACACACACACACACACACACACACACACACACACACACACACACACACACACTATATATATATATATATATATATAGAGAGAGAGTATATGTACTATATATATAAAATATATACTTTATATATGTACATAGATACAGTATAATATATAAAATATATTTACAGTACAATCTATATACTGTATATATACAGATGATATATAAATAGTTTATAGTATAATAATATCCCAGTGTGTAGAAGCTCTTTAACCCAAATGGTGTTTTTAATGTTAGAGTTATTATTGTTGTCTATGAATTTCCAAATTTACTTTTTGACAAAAAAAAGAGAAACCAGTGAAGCAGGTTATTATTTCTTGATTCAGACAGATTACAGGAGTTTACTCACATTCCTGACCTGAACCCTGTGATGCTGTGCTCACATCATTACACATGTGTGTTATAGTCACAGCTGTGTGTGATGTGTGTTATAGTCACAGCTGTGTGTGTGTGTCGTGGTGTATGAGCAGCTCTATGAGGCTCAATGAGGAACAGGAGCCACAAGAAACACAGCAGAACGACACTAAAGCCGCGGTCGTGTTCAGACCTCTGAGGAATGTGATGGTGAGTTTCCTCCTGAGAGGACGCCCTGCAGCTGACCTACTTCCACCACCGGCAGCGTCCCGGCAGAGCCCAGTCTCATCAGTCAGTAATGAAGCTCAGACTGAACACACGCTGACGGGGTCGATGATTCAGAGTTCATCAGAACGGCTGATTAGCTCTGAATCACAAACAGCAGCCACTCATGTGACTGTGCTCACTCAGACGTGGTCCTAAAGTTCAGGTTCAAAAGACAAAGTGATGAAGAAGAACGAGCCAGCGCTGACGAGGGAGCAACAGCAGCACGACGACTACGAAAAGACTCAAAACTGGACCAAAAAAACACAAAACGACAACGACACAGAAATACACACAAAACAAGAAAAAGACTCAAAACTGCACTGAAAATGCATAAAATTACAAAGAAGTCACAAAATGACAGCAAAACAACAAGAACACAAAACAACACAAAATGATACAACTCTTATTTCGATTGTGTCGATTTCAGTTTTCGTTATTGATCGATGGTCCTGCAGTGGATGAACCATCCGACATGATTGTGTTTGGGTCTGAAGCTGATATCAGCTGATCTCTGGTTCTGGAGTCTTCCTGCCGCTAATGTTTTCCAGCTGCTGCCTCCAACGGGGCAGAAAACACAAAGACCCCCACTGTGTCTGGAAGAGAAATTACGAAACTCATGAAGAAACTGAAAGTAAAGTTCTGCCTTACAGACCGGACTAAAGCTCACCGTTTGTTCACAGAGAGAGGAGCGCATTTAAGGAGACACAAAACAACAACCACAAGACACACGAGGACAACACAGAGACACAAAACAACCATAAAACCAGACAAGACAAAGCCACACAAATACACTGAAACGACAACAGAAACACAAAGAGACAGAACACAACAACAAAGTACCCACAAAATGACAAACAATGAGCTCTTTGTGTTCCTCGCGTGTCTTTCAACAGCAGAAGTTTTAAATCCCCTGAACAGGTTCAGACAGAAACAATCTGAGTCGCACACAGACACACAACAGCCTGAGGACAGAACACAGTGTACGCTACAGCAGGAATCTGATGGACACAACCAGCAATCAGTGTTCAGACAAGAAGCAACATGTCCCTCA